GGTTTTTTCATACGACAGTTTGTATAATCCTCAGCTACAAATTTACAACCAGAGTAAATATGATATGTAATGTTCATATATTTTTCTAATTTAAGCTTCTCATGAATGAGTGATTGTGAGTGAGTGAACGAATGAATGAATAAGTTATAGAGAAATATTTGAAAATTGTCAAATAAATCCTGATTCACTGTGTTAATATAAGAAGTTACTAGTGTAATATACAATTATTCGATAACAAGAAGAAACCAAATACAAAAATATAGTTGATGTCTATCTTCATCAAATATAGGTGAAAATCTAAGAATTTTCAAGTTGCAGCCAAGCAGTTGTCTACAAAACTCAGAGATAATTGTGAGTGGATAACTATTTCCTTGTGTTCTAGTAATTTTAACAAAAAATAATATTTCTATCAAATAAATGTGTCTGATAGATTGCACCAGAAAATAAAGTCAATTATTTTCGTTAAGTTATTAGGTTTTTGTCTGAAAAAAACACTGAATATGATTTTGTAAGTGCAGTTCACGTGTCAATCACTAATGACTCAATCGATTATCGATTATATCACTTTGAGGAAATCACTGTTCCTTAGTTAACTAGAAAAAATAATAAATTAAACTTGAGGTGACAATAAAACTCAGTGAGAAAGTAACAGGTGGTATTTTCTTAAGAAAATTATCATTTTATTCTTGTATAATGTCTAGATTCTCAAGTCAAATGTTCTGAGAAGATTTACTCTGAATCCATATTCAGAAATAATATTGGTTCAATCTGGGTTTGAACCAAAAGTGTTTGGTTCTTCATAAGGTTACCTTGTAACTAATTAAGGAAATAGATTGCGATTCCAGAAAATATTTGTAGCTGGGGATGAGAAAAATAACTACTTAGTGTTTGTTTTCAGACGTTTCATTATCAGGCAAGGAATCTTCAAGATTTGCTAACTACCGAAGTGAAACACACAAATTGTATAAATACCTATACTAACTTTGAGCATCATAAGTAGTGGACAAGTGTGACCTATCCTTTAGTCAGAGACTGAGACTGGTTCCTTACTTTTACGATAGCCAAATAATATTAGGAACCGAAACTATAATGATAAATAACGTGTATCATAGATTTGCAGTTTTTTACAAACTCTTTCTACAAATGAAATTTATTGGCATAGTTTTTTTCATAAGATCAAACATTTCTCAACTGGTTTACATTCAATGTGAAAGCTGTTTTGAAAGGAAGAAATCTGACTCTGAATCGAGAAGTAGTTTTGTACAAATGTCTATAAAAGACACTTCTCGAGGACTGTTTCCACATTTCCAATAAGAAAAGGAAATGGATGAAAGACTTCAGCCAATAGATTTGTTTCTGTCGAGGCTCATTTAAACAGAAGTAATACGCATATGTATTTCTAAGTACCAATAATGGTTGTTGTTCATGAATCCTTGTCAGGTTATGATGAGGAATATAAGAAGGGAATAGCACTTTTGTAAGAAACATGGAAATATTTGACAAATCACTAACATGTTATTTGGAGTCAAGAATTAAAGAAATTATGTCACACCAAGTAAACGACTGTTAGTGTTGTACGGAATTAAAAACTAGTAGTTGAGTTAAAAATACTTGCCTATTAACATCATGAAAAGGAAGAAAGGTTAGCTAGATTAGCAATTCGAAAAGTTATGGGAACTCGGATGTCAGTAAGAACAACAAACGATTCAATTTCTTCTAGGAATAAAAATCTGGCTTCAAATTCTTATTGCCAGAGTTACACCAATGCAAAGTAAATACTTCTTGACATCCTTCTAAAGATTATGTTCTATTTTACTGATTACTGCAAGCTAGTCTTTTTGAACTGTATCCTCTGTCAGCTAGATGTTGTTCTTTGGAGCTATTGATCAGTCCACTTCATTAAAATCATTGGCTCATCTTGGAAGGCCTTAGCTTTAATGTTGAACGGTCTGTCACTGAGTTTAGCCTACCCACTTAATTCCGTGAACAAGAACTCAGCGAGAAGTGGAGGTATACGCTTCGTACAAGTGTTGGTTGAATTTTAACTTCAAAGGTACATCATTCTTTTTTACATTGATGGGAGAGCAATATCCAAGAATCTCCATCGATATCAATTTTTGTTGATCGTTTATTTTGAAAGTTTAATTTTCACTCGCAAAACGCCATGAGTGCGAACCACTTGGATTCGACAAGAAACAGAATAGGTTAAATAAGCTTTACGTATAGTCAGAAAACTTAGCTTTGAAAGTCCTTCATTTGTTCATTGCTAGCGAACTTTTAATAAGTGAATATTTGAAGCGCTTTATAATCTTTTTCTGTTAAAATCAGTCCAATAAACAGTATCCTTTACTGTGATTTTTTCTCCATTGTAAAGCTAATCAACATGTGGTGTCTACTGATATCCCCTTTCTCCAAATTGATAACACTGTTTTTATTTTCATGTTGTTATTATGTTGACGCTTAAAAGTCAATTATTAATTTTTAATTCCTCTCTACGTTGACAGCAATTTCATCAGTCTGTTATTATACCTTCAAATCTTGGTTGCTGAATGAGCCTAATTATTCATCTTTCCTACGCAGATTCCATCGCCATAACATTTTCTAGGTCACAATCTACTGTGATTAATTGATTAGAAAATATCAAAAATTTTGCTAATAAAAAGGTACAATAGGTATGCATAAATGTCACCGCATATCTTCTGAGAATTATATACAGACTACTAAAAACGTATCAGACAGCTGGAAACCAGTAAAGCAAATCATTTGTCAGACATTAATTCAATAGCATAGGCCAATTAAAAAGGTCGACCACTGATAAAAGAGAAGGACTGGTCACCTCTGCTCACAAGTCAATAACCTTTGAGGTCTACAAATCTCTATACTCTTTGATGACAGGCCTTTGGTGTTTGGAGTGCTTCCAGAGGAAAATAACATTTTTTATAACGTGACTGTTTATTGAAGCGCATCTTGCAAGTGTCAAAAGTAATGGTCAGGCTTTCCCACCATTTACCCTGACTACCTTGGTTCTTTTATATGCAATATATAGTGAAGGTTATGTATATTAGAGTGAAGCCTGAAGCAGTCTAACTCGAAACGACATCGTTCTCCTACGTCTCTTCTTGCAATTAAAACAACGGGGGTCTTTACTATGTCCCACTGTTACGTAATATTTTAAGACAGGCCACCAATGCAGAATTGAAAAATTAAACAACAAAACCTGAATTCTCGGATAGTCACTATCACTTAAAATGAGGTGATTATTTTTGACCTAATGTTTTACTGTTCAGCAAAGTGACAAACTAAAAGCAAACGTATGCTGAAGACATCCAAACTATTGCGTGACTGTCACTCACGAGAAATTGATGAAACCATGGATTTGAGATTTCCTTTTCTTTAACAAAATAGCAAAATAACTGTAGACGAGAAAAAAGGTATGTTTTTCTTTTAGTGAGTCGATGCTTATGATTGGTGTCACCTGATAATTATCCTAATAAGATAAAGTGTGACAACACCACCAGCAACACAAGCTTGATTATACTCAGACGTAAATCCATGCCCATCGTTCTTCAGGTAGGTGTAATTTTATAGTGTTTCATAAGATAGAAAATCAGCGGTAGAGGAAACACATTTCTTCCCTTTTTTGAAAAAACATTCAGATTATATTCATGTTATCTTATGGTCTTGTAATGACTTTCTATGTGTTTTGTGTGGTTCTTGTTCCGTTGTTCTATGCAAATTCTTAAGGCCTACTGCTCACATATAGTGAAGGACAGAGGAAAGCTTTTTAACCAGGTGAAGTTTTGCTGTCAGTAAATTAACAACGAAATCAAGTGCATATAGTGAAAAAACTGTGACAAAGATTCAAATATCGACTGGGTGCATAGAAGCTGAACTAATGGCGATATGAATACAACTTTATACCCACTGTATTGGTATGTGAGCTACTGTTACGAAAAATAAGAAAGAAACAACATTTCTTGTGATGAGACGACGTACAATTTTGACTGATATTCAATCTAAAACAACCTATGAACCAAAAGCAAACCATGCGAAGAAAAGGAAAACCAAGTGCTTTAGATGGGAAACGACTAGTTGGGCGTCCGAAGGTGACATGGAGATCATGTGAGGAAGAAATGAAAGGTTCTTGGCAGTCGTGGTGACAGATTCAAAAGACTGCAGAGAAAAGAGTGCAATGGAGACGTGCTTCTGAAGCTCTATGTTCCGTTAGGAACCCAAAGGAAAAATTATAGTAATAAGTGCTTTAGATGAATTTTGACTACCTTATCGCTTTATTGCGTAAAATCTGACTTCCCACACAGAAAAGTCTGAGATGTTGGTATAAAAATGTGTTATTCTGTCCTTTCTGCCATCTCAGCATTGTTTTCCCTACTTTTTGACTTATATGCAGCATTATTTTTCGTGTCTCATCTTTGAGCTCTTTTTCATAGCTTTGTTTTGTAAATCTAAACCTTTCTCTTGCTTGTTCATACAACTTCCCAGTTTCCTAAATATATCTTTGTAACGAAGCTTTTCAGAAGTCGATTCGCTTCTTATTGTTTTTATCTTTCTGAAGGAATGAAGCCTGTTTACTTCTACAATGCATGACTTTTATCTCTTGATACACAGTTCAATATATTTCGCAAATAACGGAACTGCTGAGCCTCCTAGTTTGGTAGCCGCATTGCAAAACTGATCGTTGAAATTCCGTCGACACGCAGGACTAGAAAGCATAAAAATGGTTGATCTCCCGTGACCAATCAATGTAGCTGCCATTAGCTTTTCACCATTGTTGAAGTTCATTATGACGTATTCAAGGTACCAGTCGACTTTACTGCTGTGCTGTGAAATGTGTCAGACATATAATTTCCATAATTTGGCCCATCTAAATTCAAAGTTACTTATTAAGTCAATGTTATTGGTGGGGTATAATTTATTTGCCTTTTGAAATGACAGGATATTTATTGAAAAAGAAATCAGAACGAAATTGCTGTTTGAAGCAATCAGTTATAGGCTTCTACGGGATAGAAAAAATTAGGAATTAAATTTTGAGATCATACTTTCATAATCCATATAGTAATACAATCTGGCACTATTATTCAACAAAACAGTTGTACATTTGCAGTAACTTTGTTCCATTTGCACATCATCACTGAATCAACCTAAATGGAAGAAGAGAATACTTTCTTCTACCATATTGTAAAATAAACATCCACTACATTGGTGTGCCTGGAATGTCGGAAGGATGAAATTTCAACGTTGCACAAGAGTAAATAATTATACATTTCTAACTGCATTTGTTTGTTTGCTGGATGATATTTCAACTTACTACAATATAATAAAGGAAGAAAACATAATTCACTGAGAAAAAAGGCTTACATTCTTATTGAAATGTTAACAGAGTGGTAAAAGAGGCTGTATACAATGGAAAATCAAGCCAAATTATAACCATGCTATAAAAAATTTCTTGCTATTTAATTCAAGATTACTACATTATTCATCGTAAAATATGAGGACATAGGTTTGTTCACTAAAGCTGATATTGTGACTGCTAACGTTTGAACCTGAATGAAATTCCTATCTGGTTATACAAGGGTGAAGGGAAATGCATCAGAAGCTTTATCTCTGAATATTTAATCGATTTCAACCGTTCGACCGATCCAAACAATGATTTTACGATTGTCTATCAAATTCGCTCAAACATCTCACGTTTTCTCTGACTTCTGCTTCTACAAACAGCAGAAGCCATGACTATCCATGAACTGAACCCTTACCCTTGTGTACAAAAGAATTATGTGCAGTCTTTATCTTTACCTTGGTCTTAATTTATTTCAGTCTTGATGTGCTTCGCTCATTTTTCTCTTAAGCCCCACCTATTGTTACATTAATATTCTTACTAATACATCATCATTATCATCTTAATGTTTACATTTAATAGTTTCCGATGTTACTTCATTTGATCATCCTAATAATTACAACTTCCAGCAAAACATTTTCCGCTTATTTCATCTAAAATTTCTCATTCATATTGCTCAATCCCTTCACTGTTTATTAACCCTAACACCTTTTCTCCCCTTTGTAATCTATAAGCGCTTTATAAATGATCCAAAACTCTTACGTAACCCCATTTGTTACCATTCATTAAGTCATCAACTAGCAACACTATTATTATAACCACTACTACTGTTATTTCAAACTCCCATAATTTAAGTCTTCCTCACGGATTGCAGTCTTTAAGTATACATATATATATATATATATATATATATATACGATTTAATAATGAAAAATAAGACAATAGTATTCTTAAAAAAAGCAGTCATACCCAGCTGGTATTATTTCTGTGTAAAAGAGTGAACATTACTTTATTGGAAGTGTCATTAACAACGTCATCCAAAGTAGCCTTTGTTAGTTTGTGCAGTGTCATAAGTCAAATAAATGAAGTAGCACATTCTTAGCCAAGGTTCATCGGTTGTCTGCTGATCATTGTTTTGTAATCCTAATTGCACTTCCTAAAACAAATGGTAGTCTCTTCAACTGGAAAGTTCTTTTAAACTCATAGTCTGCTTGTTATAATTTGTTGCCTTTAGTTTTCGATAGAGAATTTAAAATATTCCTTATTCTATCACTATGAATACACAGATAAAAAGTATGACTTCATGAAGTCCGAGATCAGACGTTTTTTAACCGAAAATTGGCTTGTTTGACAAGAGGCAACAACTACAACGGATGATTTCCGCAATATGGAATAAAATATTCATAATAGATATTAAACACACCAATGTGGATATCATCAAAGATATCAATTATACTAAAAATAAATAACCTACCTAAAGTATTTCTTATACATAACTGGAAAATGGGGAGCAGATATTCTCTATTTTAAAAATAGTTTGAAATAATCCTTCCTTATTGAGAAAATGTTCTTTCAATTTTTTCTATAGAATGTGAGGATGTTTTACGCTAAACGTTTACACTTTTAATAAAACCTAGAAAATTCTATTTAAGAAGCTGTCATTATGAAGGATACAAAAATGTTCACTAAAGTAGACTTTGAACTTCCAAACACTATACGATTTTATTTGGTTACCTCTTATCATAATACGATTATACTCGACTCTCGCATTTTTTCTCATGAAATTTCTCAAATCTATGATTTAATTTTAGTTAGACCAAGTAAAATAGTCCCTGATAAATAAATTAGCTCGGCTTTAAATACACCGAATATGTCCTAACTAAGCAAGCAATAAACAACTTTTAGAAGAACCTACCCAGTAATTATAGAGATAATTATTGCCTAACTCCAACTATATACCCACTGTTTAGTGATAAATGATAAATGTACATGTGAGTGCACCTATTTTCAATGACGTGAATAGTACTTATGTTTGTACTTGTATTATCCCATCGTTGATTGGACTAAACTGATCGGTCTTTATTGGCATGTGCACTTTTGCGTGGATGCCCTGATTTTGTCTGTTTTTCAATTTTATATTATTGATGAATAGTGTCTAGAGGTGGAATCTAGGACGGACGTTTCGTTTTACTTGAGACTCATTAGTTAAATGTATTTTCATCCTAGTGAGCGATGTGGATAACGCTTTGGCGTTTGAAGTAGTTGGTACCGAGTTCTAATCTTAGTGGGAAGAACACTGTCCACTGAGAGGCAGATATATATGACTGACGAGTCCGAAAATAGGAAAATCCAAACGCACTGGCTTCTACTACCAGCTGCAATCCATCAACAATATAAAGAAGTGAATATTAGTTAAAAAAGATGAAAAACAGACAGCTTATCTTTAAAATTACAGTACTTGTTCTTCAATTAGTCAGTGCTTACTGAAGAATAAATTTACAGAATAAACCTTTGTCATAATCAAATTATTTGTTTGATTCGCTTGCGTGTATAAACATGTATAAGAAATGTGTTATTTTTTAAAACATTGGAGATTCGAAGAAAAATGCATGAGGACTGATTAGTGAGAAGCATTAAACTACAAGCGCTGAATATAGATTGGTTCATTTTATGAACACAAGAATGAAAAACTCTGGTTTATGGTTGCCCTCAGCTAAAAAATTACCGAATTCTGTCACAACTAAAGAAGTAATGAGTTTCTTGAGGGTTCATTTCTTCAGACAAATGTATATGTATAGGATAGCTATAACCTACTGGTTTTCTAAACTTGATTACCTGCTACTTATAAGCATGGCAGTAGTAGTCCCAATTGAATATAACGAAAAGAAAATGCCCCGGTCTGACCAAAACACTAAGCCAAATGATATCGCTGGGTAATTTATTGTTCAGAATAAACAAATTAGAAGGAAGTCATGAAGCAGTTTATCAGTATGGACACATCCTGTACACACTTTCAAAATGGTTAGAACGGAACTGTTACGCCTTTTCGCATTATTAACTAAAGATTTCTAAAGAAAGTAAATAACGTTTATTGACAAAAGCATGAAATTGCACCACAACATTTGCTTCTATGATTATCTTACTCAGAGTGTGTTAAGTATGTAGCCGGGACTAGCTGAATACACTTATATTCACATAACAAAACTTTTCATCTTTGAAACACCTAGTGAGGAAATTATGCATACACCATAAGCATTATGTTTGCTTGTGTTACTTTGCAGGTTTAACAATTATCAGGTGTGAAAGTGGTCAACAGATCTTCGTTCTCCAGTTAAATCTCTTTTATTTCAAACTAATTGCCACTTATATCAAATAAATGTGAAGGCTTGATGTCAAAACCTCAAACGTTGAAATATAGGAATAATTTTGTCTTCAGAACAATAGTTCTCCTCTTTCTTGACATCAAGTTTTTGTTGCATACTTCAATTGTAACATCTACCCTCATTCCATAATGTGGTTGATTCTAAGTATAGTATCTGAGCCTTCTACACCGCGTCATCTGCATAGATGAAAAATGTATTCCTCTTTTCAATAAACTATGACTGTTATACAATGTGATTAAAGTTCAGAACTATCAGATAATTTAACAGAAGGTAAAAATAAAATCCCTTCTATTAATTCTATCTAATGCTGATTTAACGAGGGTTAGCTTCTAATTGAAATCATATTCACCTTTGAGATTCGCTTACAGATGCCAAAATGGGTCAAAATCTTGTGGACTCATTACTCGGTTTAAATATCGACCCCAATATGATCTTTTTCTCACATTAGACGATAAAGTTTCTTGTGAGGTGATTTCTTGTTTGAGCTATGAATTGTGAATAAGAAATTATTTATTTCAATCTCCAACTGTATTAACTTGTCCTTAGGAGGATAAATCTAAAGTCGTTTGTTTTATAGATCAATTTTTTTCAATTAGACCAATTAAATAATGGCGAAGTATGAAAGTAGTGTTCGTTGGCTCAAAAAATATGACCCGAAACCTGTCCATGTTTTTCCATTTTATCACACCGACCATAAATCATGAATAGCTGGAACACAGAATGTGTTGGCACCCTTTGCGATAAAAATACACCAGAACATTTTGGCAGCAACAAGCAAATCACACGTGTCATCAGTTGCAAACTGATATAATCGCAAGTGTATGACGTCATAGCAACTGTCTGTGACAATTAAGTGTGCTTTTCTAACTTCAAAATATTCAGTTTGATCAAGACGAAGCTAAGAAAATGAATGTGATAAAGTAAATGAAAGGTTTTCTGTCGATTGCCAAGCATTAATATGTTTAAATTGAGTTGCATTGATAAAATGAAAGATGCATCAAGGGTTATATTAAGGTGTTTATAAGCTGATAGCGAATTATATCATTTTCACTTTATTATCACTTGCATTCGAAGTAGTTTCTCTATATATCGACGTCTAGATATGTCTTTATTCTCGCCATAAACTTACAGGAACCATGTTATCACCAGAACCAATAAAAAGTATTTATCCTTGCTTAGGGTTATTCAGTATGATAAACGTGCCTACCAGTAAGTATTATAATTTTCAATAAGATTGCATTACGCATCTTTCTCTCCACTGGGTCACCAACCCATTGAGTTTTCATGGAATTCTACTCGAAATTCGACAGCATAGTTATTTTATATGTTTATCAAACAATTCAACTATAAATACATAGCTATTGAATAGCAACAATAGCGCTGTTTTGAATCTCGAAAAGCAAGAAATTCTTCAACAAGTAAGTAATTCTTTCAGACTTTTACTATTAAAAATAATTTGAAATAAGTAATGTGGGCATTTTGCAAGGTGAGAGCAAAGTGCACAGAGATTTTTAACACTTCTCATAACTAATTGGTTTTACTCAACTGCCTAACTATGATGAAAACAGAGATTTCGTTTGAACCACCTACCAGGATAACAGATTATGATTTCTGGAATAAAAGTGTTTCGCACTAGACGAATATGCCACTGAACACCATCACTAGTCAGAAGATGCACACTGCCTTGTAGACTGCTCTAGCTAAAGCAGGGTGATTTCAACAGAGGTCAGCTATTTCCTTAGTTGGTAACGGAGATCGTCATTAACGGAAAAGTCAGATTGAAACAGCTATCAAGTCTGAACTGTTTCAGTTAAGTGATTATAGATGCCTGCTTTTATTGAACCAGAATATCCTTATTAGGATTATCAAATTGTCCAGATCACACTATTCTGGATAAAGAAACCTAAAAATTCATCTCACAGGGTTTTTGATTACTCATGTTGTTATGCAGTATATTGAATAACAGGCAGAATCCAGTTGTTTTTTGGGTATTTTCATTACTTTATACAGAATACAATGACTTGTCTGCGTTGCAGCATCCACTCCATGTTCTCAGTAGAGTTAAACGCTTGGAATATGATAGTAAAAGAGCATGAGAATATTATAATCAACGGTTCTGATTTGCATAACAGCTGTTTAATGTATTCTGCTGCATACATCACGTCGCTTTCTCAAGAATAAATCTTGAAGTTCGAAGTTCATTTACTAGTATGCACACAGCTACTACAATGTAAGAGTCATGCATTAGCTGAATGATCAAACACCTAATTCTAATATTTTCAAACATTTTACATTCAGTAAAAACCTTGCGAATCTAACAAGTTTCATTCAACTTGAATGATGTGTTAAGTCATTAGGGAATAATATGTTCCTAATGACTGCTTAAAAAAATGAAAATTCCCTTGAAAAAAACATGCTGACCATGAATTTTAATTATTTTCTATGAAGAATCTTCTAATGAGCAGCATAAATTAGGAAAAAAACATAATTCTACAAACTTCTCTACCAATCATATGTGTCAATAGTAAGAAATCAGTCGCAAACCCCCACCATTAAATGTTCTTAAGAAAACAACCATATCCACCTGGAAAATACCACTTATTAATTATGTCTTTGTTTGCATAAACAGACTTATTGTACAGTGGAGTGAATTTGTGGGCTTCTAAGCTTCACATTTCTAAAATAACTCATTCGTACAACTTTATCCACATCGATATCCCAATCTTTAGGCATGTGACTGCTTACTATTAATTCACAAGGCATGCGATTCTAGCTAATGTATTTTAAGTCAGTTTCTGATCAAACAGAACTCATGTATATGAACTTTTCTGACATACAATATGCGTGTGTGCAGGTAGCAAGAAGATGAATATGAATCTTTCCACCCAAATAAACTATCACGAGATACAGCAATTATTTTTGATAAGCGGGAATAAAATGTCAAATAAGAATAAAAGCTGCGATGAAATTCCAGTTAAGATGAGTGAACCAACAATTGAGATATATACTCACAAACAAGTAACAAACATTTCAGTAATAATTTATATTAGTAGGTTTGTGGGGGATACATTTACTGGCATCAGTTATAGAACCATAGAAAAATTGTAAGAACTGAATGCCGACCATAAATCATGAGACTCCTAGGTAGTGCCCATTAACAACCTCACCTGATATCGAATACCGCCCTGACTTTTACAATAAGTTGAAATCTTATTGTATTCCCTATATCATAAGATCGTAAAAATTAGTTTTGTAGAAAACCTTTATTCATATCCTGAATAATGTTCCCTATATTTCGGCCAATGTTCCCACCATCTGAAAAAAATGGATGTTTACAACGTCAGTTTATCAATCCGAAGTGGAGTAAACAGCTTTTAGAACCATAACGAGGCTCACAAAATTCGCTGTTTTGATTGAGTGTAACTCATGCTTTATTGTGTTCCGTTCTCTAGGCTTGGTGATTATTCATAAGGCCTACATCGTCTTTCTAGACAATATAATCAACACTAACTTAATTACGAAGCAAGTTACCAATCTCTCTATGAGTGACTCAGTAGCTTGTTCTGACGAACTGATTTGTGACTGGTTGTTCCTCTTGATCATTTTGTCACTG